ATCGTTGGGCAGGTCACTGCCATGTCTAGTGCCAGGCACCGCCCTGTTCGATGACCTCATAGAAACAGCTCCAAGGGGTATGACGGCTCTATTTGCTTGTGTGGCTATAAATAGAGGGTGTGGCCAGCCTTGGCCACTCTCTTGGTACCTAATACACTTGTGCACACCCTTTGAAAGCTGAGCAACACACTCCACTCACTTGTTCACTTGATTTCATCATCTTAAGTGAGATTGAAGAGCCTCTAGTGCATTGCATTGAGTTGCATCATCTTGTCGCACTAGTTGTGTGACTTGGGCTGGTTGTGAGCTTGTTACTCTTGGTATTTGCTGACACCTAACAGCCCGGTGGTTGAAGGATCATTGAGCGGAGTTGGTGATTGTCTCCGGCCTCGATCGGTTGCTTGTGAGGGGTCTCGTACCTTCCCCAGCAGAGAGTCGAAAGGTAACTCTAGTGGATTATTCATGTCATTGAGTTACCACACTTGTGGGTAGATTCTTGCAGTGTCCAATTGTGTAGACGAGGTTCGTGCAACACCTCTTAGCCCGCAAACCACCAAGTGTTGGTCGACACAACGGGGACTAGCGTGCCGGCAAGCACGTGAACCTCAGGAGAAAAATTGGTTATCTCTTGCCCTTTGGTATTCTCTCGGTGATTGAATTTGTATTCATATTGTGATTGGTTCACTCCTCGATACGGTAGTATAATCACATTGCTCACTCCTTTACATTCTCGCAAACTAGTTGTAGTAAGCTCTTTAGTGTAGCTAGAATTGAGAGCTTACTTTGTAGCTTAAGTTCATTTAGTGGAGCTTTTTAGTGTAGCAAGTTTAAGAGCTCTTAGTGTGTAGCAACTTAGCCAATTATGTGCCTAGTGATTATAGTAATTAGAATTATTGGATAGGTGGCTTGCAACCCTTATAAAGGTAGAGTAAGTTTGCATTTCGCTATTTGTCATACTAATCAAATTGCTCTATTGATCTTGTAGATTTTTAAATAGGCTATTTACCCCCCTCTAGCCATATTAGGACCTTTCAAGTGGTATTTGAGCTGTGGTCACTGTTTGATTTAAGGCTTAACAACTTGGTGTCAAAAGATGGCTCAAGTTGTGTTCAACCATGTGGGGGGCAAACCACCGTTTTTTGATGGCATATGCTATGGTTATTGGAAGAGAAAAATAAAGATGTATCTTGGTTCAATCAATGATCAAGTGTGGAATGTGGCCGAGAGTGACTATGCTGTCATTGATCTCGACAATCTCACCAACCAAGATAAGGCCAACAAACAATGTAATACAATGGCTCTCAACACCATCTATAATGCCATTGATTTTACGGTATTTGAGAAAATTAAGGATTGTGATAGAGCTTATGAGGTGTGGAAGAGATTGGAGAAAACATATGAGGGCATACCGGCGGTGAAGAGTGCCAAGTTGTACATTCTCAAGGACAAGTTAACATGCTTCAAGATAAAGGATGATGAGAGCATTCCAGAGATGTTCCATCGTTTGTAAGTGATTGTCAATGATTTGAAGGCTTTGGGTGAGAAAATTAATGATGATGATGTCTCTCACCGGTTCTTGATGTGCTTACCTCCAAGATTTGATATGTTGAGATTATTCATCATAAGAGGAGGATTGAAGGAGCTCATCCCTAACCAAGTACTTGGTGATGTCATGACACAAGAGACATACCATGTGAAAAGGAAGGGAGTTGACAAGGATGAGAAGGAAGATGAAGACAAGAAGAAGAAGAGTGTAGCATTCAAGGCTAGCTCATCATCTAAGGACAAGGGCAAGTCCAAGAAAGAATCAAGTAATGATTAAAATGCTAGTGACATTGATGATGAGGCCATGGCTCTCCTTGTGCGCAAGATGGGCAAGTTCATGAAGAAGAACGGCTATGGTGCAAGAAAGAGAAGAGATCACAACATGGAGTATTTGAGAAGATGCTACAAGTGCAAGAGCCTGGATCACGTTGTAGTGGATTGTCCCTACAATAGTGACAATGATGAGGATGAGAAGAAGAAGAAGAAGAAGCATAAGAAGGATAAGAAGGAAAAGAAGGAGAAGGAGGGGAAGAAGATGACCTTCCAAAAAAAGAATGATGGAGGCTATGTGATAACATGGGATAGTGATGGCTCTTTGGATAGTGATGGCTCTAGTTATAATGACAAGAAATCCATCAAGAAGGCACTAGTAAGCATCGCCATCAACAACAAGCCTTTTATCTTCGACACTCCATCAACATGACTCATGGCAAAGCCCAAATATGATGTGAGTGATAATAATTGTGATAGTGATGATTGTAGGAGCGATGATGATGAAAAGTATACTAAGGATGAGCTCTTAGACATATGTAAGCAAGTACACACTTGCTTTGAGAAGAAGAGAAATGAGTAAAGAATTGCTCAAAAAGATCAAATCTCTTGAGCAACCCTTTGATGAGCTCAATGTTTCTCATGAGAGCCTAAAGAAAGATCATGAGGAGCTTGGTAAGGCTCACACTAAGCTTAAAAAAGCTCACTCCTCTCTCCTCGAGCAAATCAAGAAGGAGGAAGCCAAGAAGGAGCAAGTGATTGTGTTGTGTGATATGGGACTAACATATGATATTCTTGATGAATTTTTTTATAAGCCAATTGTTGTTGCTCACACTAACCCTTCTTGTAGCACTACCACTTTTACTTCACCCTTGAGTGATGGTTTTACTTATGATACCTCACTAATGGTGGAAAATGAGACTAAAAAAGGAGGTGAATGAGCTTACTCGTGTCTTAGACAATACCTATGGTGAAGATGTCCGCTTGCTAAAGTGCTTGGGTAGCCAAAGATTTTCTCTCAACAAAGAGGGATTAGACTATACCCACAAGAAAGGTAAGGCGGCCTTTGTCACTCCTAAAGATAGCTTTATGAAAGACAGTGTTTTCAGCCAGTTTTAGTCTAAAATTTAGCAAGCCAAATGGGGCCTTTGTCTCAAATCAAATTGCAAACATGATAAAAAAAATCAAATTGCAAACATAGCATCCATCACCAGAAAAAATTATTTGTATATGGTATGTAATGTGGGTGCAAATTCACTTATCTCCCCATGCAAACTCACTGCATCACGCCGACGAAAAAAATGGTCGGCGGCTTGCTCGGTGCCCACGGCTGAGCACCCCACGCGTAGCAACCCCTGGAATATATGGTATATGGATCTTTTTCTATAGGAAAAAGTACATTTTAGCTCTGAACTATTCTCAAAGTCTAGTTTTCCTTCCTAAAATCCAAAATCGGGTAAACTACCTTTCTCAATTTTTAAAACCATTTTACCTCCCTGGCCCGATTATAGGTGGTTTTTAAAGGTGATTTTGTCTTTTTCTTTTTTATTTATCTCGGCTGTATTTTTGAAAAATCATAGTAAATCACAAAAATTCATAAAAATAGAAAAAAATAATTTTTTTGACTCCACATGAGTAGATCTACACAGTGAATATATAATATGATATGCTTTTGAACAAATTTTTTGTTGTAACTTTAAATCTATGCTTTTCTATAATTAATTCAAAGCTGCAGTTTCTATGGTCCAATTGTGGTGAAATTTTATGCTGGGCTAATTATTATATGATTGAACTGTAGTAAAAATTTCATGCTCTTTGGATCATGTATAACTGAGTTATAGATTTATTTAGTTTTATGCTTGTTAAATAGTTTAAAAATAGTTAAAAGTGTGTAAAAATATAAACGAGTATAAAATTTTTACTATAGTTAAAGCATATAATAATTAGACTAACATAAAATTTTCACCACAATTGGATCATAAAAACTGCAGCTATGAATTAATTACAGAAAAACATAGATCTAATGCTACAGCAAAAACTTTATACTAAAACATACCATATTCTATGTTTACTATGTAGAACTACTCATATGAAATCCAACAAAATTAGATTTTTCTGTGATTTACTATGATTTTTTTAAATATTCAACCAAAATAAATAAAAAAAGACAAAACCGCCTTTGAAAATCACCTATAATCGGGTAAGGGAGGTAAAATGAACAGTTTTAAAAGTTGAGGTAGGTGGCTTACCCTGTTTTCGAGTTTAGGGAGGAAAACTAAACTTTGAGGATAGTTCATGGAGATAAAATAGATTTTTCCTTTCCTATATATATATATATAGAAGAAGAAAAAATAAATAAGCAGAAGAAAGAAAACGGCCCAGTCAACCGTGTGCGCTCCCCATTCACTAAAATCTATCACGGGCCTTAAAGAAGCGGCCCAGAGGATCTTGCTCGTGGCGCCGTGGCGGCGGCCGGAGGCGCCAGCGTGCCTGCGGCCCGGCGATGCCATGCCACGGCCAGGTCGGGCAGCCTCCGCCTTCCCCTTGGGGCGGAGGACAGAAATGTCCTAGGTTTGCTGGCTGCTCGGTTGGCCAAGAACTTCCTTGATGGGCGACCTGTCCGAGTCCCGAAATGCTCGATGCCGCCGGCGAGGCCCCGCCACGTCCAGGTGGAAGGCGTGCGCGCGGAGCCACCGACTTAGCTGCCACACCTCAGAAGTGAAGTTCAGCGATTTGTCCGCCGCACTTCATCTCGCTGTTGTCCCGGGGGTACTCTCTTTCAAATTTTTGATTGATGATGTTGCCCGTTGTCCGTTTGTCGTTATGCCTCCGAGGGTTCTCTAATAAGTTGTTTTTCACAGGGTATTTCTCGTGGTCAACTAAGTTGCTATTGTTTACTCTTCAACCTTGCCGCCTTGCATTTCATCAATTTTCAGTCCGAAGGTGACTTGTCTGACATAGACATACCGTCGTGTGTTACGAGGTGCGGTCATTTGACAATGGCAGAACAAGGTTGAAACTTTGCACTCACAAATTGACTAGATTCTTCATCCTTTCAGCCTAGTCAAGAATTACCTAAGTTCTGGGGTCAAAGTACTACCTTATTTTACTGCATCCACAGGATTGCACGAGCATGTCCTTCATATTTAGGATTCGGAGATGTCTCCGGTTTTACAAGTTCAACCATGGCCCTCTGCTTCACTCCTCAAAATCATATGATGCTTGTGGCAGCCATAGCAGCACTGCACCTGCTACATCTCCTGGCAGTCACACCAGTGCTCCACGCAGCCACCAACGTAGCACTGCCTGGTTGCCTTAGCAAGTGCGGCGAGGTCAGTGTACCTTACCCATTTGGTGTTGGTGCCGGTTGCTACTACGAGGGGTTTATGCTCACCTGTGACGAGACCTACAACCCCCCTAAGCTCTTCTTGGGCAATACTAGTGCTGTGCTCAACGTTTCTCTGCATGATGCGAGGCTGGACATTGATAATGGTATCGCCAGTCTGACAGGGAGAAATCTGTACAGTATGAACTGGGGGATACCCCTTGACAACAGCATCTTCACACTGTCCTCTTTCTGGAACAACTTCTTCGTCATGGGGTGTGGGTTCAAGTTTCAAGTCATGCTGCCAGATTCAGAAAACATGATCGTTATGTGTAATTCATCGTGCCTGAATGGGCATCCTGCAGTAGCCACCGATGGCACGTGCTCTGGTGTTGGCTGCTGCGAGGCATCCTTGCCGGGATCAAGCAACATGTATTCGATCAAGCTTGACCCTTTGGGTGCAGAAAATGGCACAATGGAGCAGCCATTCAACGCTACCTTTGTCATTGCAGATAAAGAATGGTGGAACACAAACAACAATAGTATGTTGTTGCAGATGGCAGTCTTAGATGGCCTAATCACACCATTGGGCATACCTGGCTCCGCTCCTCCGCTGCAGATCAAGGCTAGTGGCAAGTGGAATTTTAGAAACTTGTCTTGTGCGGATGCTCAGAGATCAAGTGATTATGGGTGCCTTAGCTCCAATAGTTACTGCCATGATCACTGGAATGGTGAATCATCAGGGTACATATGCCGCTGCAAAGGCGGCTACGAGGGCAACCCTTACATAACAAATGGATGCCACGGTATGCAACTTGTCATTCACAGATTAAGTTCTAGTTTCACTTCATCACTGAAAAATGAGAGAAGAAAATAAAGTGTTCCAGTTTTGCTGTGCCAATTCTTCTCACAGCTTCATGCTTCACATTTGTGGTTTGAATTGCAGCTGATACTCATGAGTGCACAATCGGAGGTAAGTACCCATGCTTTGGTGATTGCGTTAACATGGATGGATCCTATAATTGCGTCTGTCCACATGGCACATCTGGGAACCCCAAGAAACCACATGGATGCATCAAAGATACAGAAAAAATTTCAGGTAACAAGATCTTCCAATAACCTGTAGCTTCAATTGCTACAGTGTTATCTTTTGACAGAAGCACTACTTGAAACATATTTGAATGATTGAATCCATATATTTTCCAGGATTAGCTGTTGCTACAGGAATTTTGTGTGGCGGAAGCCTTGTTCTTCTCATTTTCGCTGCTATTTTCTTGAGGAAAAAGCTAAGAGCCCGAAAAGCCAAGAAGTTGAGAAATTTTTATTTCAGGAAAAACCGTGGGTTGTTGTTGCAACAATTAGTAGACAAGGACATTGCTGAAAGGATGATCTTCAGCTTGGAAGAGCTAGAAAAGGCAACAAATACATTCCATGAGGATCGGAAGATCGGCAAAGGAGGCCATGGTACCGTCTACAAAGGCATTTTGTCTGACCAACGTGTTGTAGCCATTAAAATGTCAAGACGAGCAATACAGAGTGAAACTGACAATTTCATAAATGAGGTCGCCATTCTTTCTCAAGTAAACCACAGAAATGTGGTAAAACTCTTCGGATGCTGCCTGGAGACAGAGGTTCCATTGTTAGTGTATGAGTTCATTTCAAATGGAACCCTTTATGAGCATCTTCATGTCAATTCTCCACAATCATTGCCATGGAGGGAACGACTGAGAATTGCCCTTGAAGTTGCGCGATCTCTTGCCTATCTACACTCTGCTGCTTCGATGTCAATAGTTCACAGAGATATCAAGGCTACCAATATTCTGCTTGATGATAATCTAACAGCGAAGGTGTCAGACTTTGGAGCTTCTCGAGGCATCCCTATTGATGAGACTAGAATAACCACAGCCATTCAAGGAACTTTCGGATATCTGGATCCAGAATGCTATAACACGAGACAGCTCACTGAGAAGAGTGATGTGTACAGCTTTGGTGTCATGCTTGTGGAGCTTTTAACAAGGGAGAAACCGCATATTTATGTGTCAGCGACTGGTGACAGTCTAGTGGAACAGTTCCTGATACTACATAGGCAAGACAAGCTCTCTGAGATACTAGACCCACAAGTGGCCAAGGAAGGGGAGGGAGAAGCTGGAGTAGTGGCAGAGATCGCAGCAATGTGTGTAAGCTCAAGCGGGGAAGATAGGCCCACGATGAAGCAAGTCGAGATGAGACTTGAGGTGCTGCAAAGCTCAGCAACCAGCATTAAAAACACTCCAAGAACTGAGGAGCACGTAGTGAACATTCCTTTAGCTAGGCAACTGGGTTACAGTACTGATGGGAATGACATCAGCAGGCGGTTTAGTATGGAAAGGGAGATCTTGATGTCCATGGATTTCCCACGTTGACTTGGGTCACTTTGTACTCCCTTTATAATGTTTATAGATGTAATTATCAGTGTTCTATCATCTTAGATAGTTAAATGCCTGTTTTCATGTTAACACTAAGCTCTCCATGCCTTCCATTTAAGCTTCTTCTGAGTCAGGGATATATGCCAGCTATATTTTTGCTCAACCAATTTGGAGGCTAGAAGCATAGGAATACAATATCTGTCTCCTTATTGGTAATGTGATACTCTACTTTGGTCCTTTCATTGAACGGTGGTTGCGCCTGCCGTCGTGCAGCCAGCCTGCCCTGGTTCCATTCTGTCTTGGACAAACTAGGATGTCACAAAGGTTTTTTCCCAGAGGGGACCAAGCATGTGTAGAATAGGTTTGTATGGTGTGCGTGAGTTGTGCTTGGTAGGCGTGCTCTGAGTCTGTTAGTTTCATCTGTGTTTAAGCGTGCAGTCGATATGAGTGTTGCTAGAAAAGTTATGTGCATAAGTTACATTGTTTGTAAAATTTATTATATAAAAAGTATTGCTAGAAAAATTATGTCGAGAAATTGTTGGCATAAATTTGTTCGCTAACAGTTATAAACAAAAATTTGGTTGTGGAGGTCATGTACAAATAATTGTTGTGATAAGTTATCTATAGAATTGAATAAAAAATATATTAATAATGTTATGAGAAGAAGTTGTGATCGTAAGTTTTTTTGTCTCGCAGAATGGTATACACAAAACACTAGTATAGAACGGCGAGCACCTGTCGTGCCTCTCTCTCCTATGGTGCAACTGCATTGCAGAGAGGAAATCAATAGCCGAGACAGACTGCCAAAGACATGTTCAAAGAAGTGAGATGTCAAAGAACATAACCATGAATACAAACTCACCTAGGCCGTAGCCCTACAGTCCGATTATTCGGACGGTAAGCTCCGTCCGGGCGTCCGGCGATGGTTCCCGCCAATTATTTTCGTGCTCGCCAGCTTTCCGTCCGCGCTAATTATTCCGTCCGATAATTATGCGCTAAATATTTTCGTCCGCTCTGCGCTAATTATTTCCGTCCGACAATTATTTGCGCTAATTATTTCCATAGACGAAAAATAATAAAAAACATTAACAAAATAGTGCGGATCCAAGGGATCGAGCCCAAGACCCCGTACAAGATGATGTTGTTCTACCACTTTAGCACAGTAATGTTTGTGATAAATAAGAAATACTTCTGATATTAAACTATATCAAAATAGAAAAATATATCACACACAATCTCATAAGTACTATATAAATACTCAAAGATAACCACGAAAATTAGACTTATACTATGTGTGCATATCCAAAAATATATCGTAGAACATCGCATGTATGCCATGTGAACATCACAAAAATATAACATAGAACATCACATGTATACTATATGAACATCAGAAAAATACATATAGAACATCACATATATATTATGTGAACATCACAAAAATAAACACATAACATCATAAAATACATCTAGAACAATATAACATCACATGTATATAACGTGAACATCACATGTATATTACGTGAACAACACATGTATATTATATGAACATCATAAAATATATCACAAAAATCATCATATATATATATATATATATATATATATTACGTGAACATCACAAAATACAACACATAACATCACACTATACTAAAAATATAGAAAAGGAAAAAGAAAAAAATATAAAAATTAAATAAAATAAAACAAACAAAATAATTAATTATAGTAAAAACAAAAAAATAAATAAAATAAATGAAAACAATAATGAAAAATAACATGAAACAAAAACAAAATAAAAAATATGGAAATTAAAAAAAAAAGAAAAGGAAAGGAAAGGAAATAAAAGAAAGATAAAAATATAAATATGAAAAGAATAATAAAAACACATAAAACAAAAAAATAAAAAATAAATGAAGCACAAGAAAGAAAATAAAAAGGAAAAAAGATAAAAATAAAAAAAAATTAAAACATTAATCAAAGAAAAAACATAAGGAAAGAAACACAAAATAAACAAAGATAAAACAAAAAGAGAAAAAAAGAGAAGAATAAGATACAGAAACAAAAAAATAAATGAAAAAGAAGAAAAGAAACGAATCAAGAATAGAAAAACAAAAAAAATAAATGAAAAAAGAAGAAGAAAGGAAACAAGAAAAGAAAATAAAAAAACCCTGAAAACAGCGACACCAACTACGATACTAAAACGCATGCTTGTGGGCTGGCCGCGTTGTGGGCCGTCCTCACATGCAGCAACTGCGGCTCCCGCCCGCACGCGCGCAGGATCTATCGCGTGGGAAAATCGGCGGCAGGTCCCCCTAGTGGGTTTGTTGTTCTGTCATCTGGGGTTGGACGGTGAGGCAACTAGCGTCAGATCCTGGCAACGACGAGGAGATGGCAGCTTGCCTTTGGCCGGTGCGTTCAATGAGTCTTGGGCGTGTTTTTTATGGGCTCCTTAAACTTTGATGAAGATTCTTCGTCGATCCGGAATTCGGCCATGAGCTTCATCCCGTGTCTTCTTCATTGCGGGAGGTGGACAAGCACCGGCTTGCGGCAACATCGGTCGGCGACGGTGAAGGCTGCGGGGTGCTCCTCCAGAGGATTTGGCTGTAATTTTTCTTTTCTTGTGGGGTGCCCTTTATGGGGATCGGATGTACTCGTTCTTTTCCTATATTAATAAAGCCTATGCCTTGGCTGTGTCGCTAGAGCCTGTGCCTCCATGGCCCGAGCATGCTGTGGCCGCGCGGGCCGCACCGAAGTGATCCACACATATCGTGGCCGCGATGAGGCCTGCGTCGTTGTGCCCGCATGTGGCCCGTGTATTGTAGTGTATCAGGCCTGTGCCGATAGGCCCACGTGTGGCCCACGCCGCCTCCAGAGAGAGAAGATAGCGCGAGAGAGAGCAACGAGATAGAGAAGAGTGGTTCTCAGTTCTCACGCTTGGAAAAAATCCATCGTGCTGTGTCCCATCTTTTTTTTTTGGCATGCAAATAGTGTTCGGGAAACTTTTCTATCGGTGGTTCACTTTAACATGCGCCCGTAAATAAAAATAAAAATAAAAATAACATTTATAACGGTAGTAGATTAAGTTCACAGCCAGTATAAATGTGAATATTTTTACTCGTGGTAATCTTACGATAACCGCCAACAAAACTTAATCTCCACTTACTGTTCATAGCCATGGGCCTATATTAGATTTGTAATGGTGTTTGTTCTTTTTTGACCCTTTAGTGAAAAAAATCATAGCATCAATAAAAAACATTTCTATCCTAGTAACATTTATGAGTATAATTTTGTAACTTTTCAAAAAATAAAGAAGCGCGGAGGTTTATTTGATGGAGTTCGTTGATTTTTTGTTCAAGCGAGCGAGGGTCAGAGTTAGTTTTATGTTCTTAAACTGGAGGTCTCATCGGTGTGGTGCGTGAGACAGGAGTGATTCCATCAGCTAGAGTAGCCAGATGATTAGGGCTGGATAAACAAGCCAGCTCACTCGGCTCGTTAAGATCAAACCAGAAGGCCAGCTCGTTTACGAGCTCGAGCTGACTCATTTAGCTCATGAACCAGGTATAAAAACATACAAATTATTTTTTTTTCATATCGAGCTGCGAGTTTTTCGTCTAGCCCTACGAACGATTGACAGGGATGTAAAAAGAACGGCTCGTTGGAGATGGGTTAGCAGAGTATGAGTAGGGTAGTGATGTTTAATTGAGTGCAAAATGTTTACATTTTAGATGAAAATAATCAGCAAAGTCAGAATATGTTTTCTGATTTGTTTTTGGGTGGGGGTTCACAACATATGAACATATGTTGGTTTTTGGGTCATTCTCCTTTTATTGCAAAATACCGTAACTTGTATCGTTTCATTGATAATAAACAAGTTCCGGGGCAGATATTGGAGTACACAACTCCGGCCTGTCCCTGTATAAATATCTACAAAGGGGTTTCAGACTTCGAGCAATAATCTTGATAGGGCCACTAATGAGCCCGTGATAGGCGTGCAACCAGAACTTGATAGAAGCGACTATTTTTCCAGCAGTTTTACATCTCTAAACATAGGCACTCCCTACATTTTTCAAATATACGATGATGTTTAGGACTACAACCGACTCTAGGAGTAGGTCAAATAAAAAGGAACAGATGGGGCGCTCTAGCAGTTCACAGTTTTATTTCCTCTGTTTGTGTCATTTCAACATAACACAAAGGCTGTTCGGCTGTTCCCAACCTTGCTGCTTTTTCTTGCTACTACTAGTTGCTATACACAAATCAGGTTACCCATGGATTGATGTATTACAACTTGCCTCAAGTACTCGAAGGAGATACCAGATGTTTATTTTCTATATCTAACAAGTATTACTTGCTTGTGGACTTTTTAAAAATTAGTATTCAGCCCATTCTCAAAATAAAAGCTTTATACTCAACAATCATCTGGAAGACACTTGCATAATGGTCTTATATACAAAATAAAATGGCTTCCTCCGTGAAAAGGCGAACTCAGGGTGCAGCAAATTCGTATGCAATTTAATTTTTAGGTCACAAGGCCATTGACATGGACCATGATCAGTATACAGTAGTACAGTACCTCGAAATGAAACATAGTAACGAACAAAAACATCGTGCACATATCATGTTCATGTATAAGTGTATCTCCAATTCTCCATTTACGCTAGAGCCACAAGTGAGTATCATGTACTTGATAGAACAGTCAGCCAGGCCATATGTATGAAGATCCATATAAACAGAAAGAATGGAACAACAGGGCACCAGACCAGTTCAAACAACTCCCAAGTCACACAACAAGAACACACCTATAATGGTGCAACTGTAACTTCAGCCAAACCTGACACAAGCAGAAAGTTTATTTCACATGAACACCCTAGTACCTTCTGGGCTTGGATTTGGATGGCTGTGAGGGATCTTCCTTCCTGAAAATCCCACAGAACATGCACCGTGAGACCTTGGGTGAAGGCGGATCCAAAGCAGGTAGAACAGCATCAACAGCGCTACCCCATGATCCCTCTGGTTCTTGTCACAGTCAACAGGAACGCGGTACGGTGCGTTCCCGTGGATCAGTTTCGTCCCGACAGTGGAAAATCCTTTCTCAAGGGGTGTTCCAGAGCATACCACGTTCCACGATCCCCGTTCCACGACTCAATCATTCCGGGAACTTTGTGACTGTGGTTCTTGTCCCAGACCAAACCTGATGAACCAGACCTCCTAAATGTTTGAGAAGATCTCTGCAGCTCTGCCATCTCCACCTCACTTTTCTATCTTTCACCCCTCTTTTCTAAATGTTACTAGGGTATACACCTATGGAGATGGAGTCCTATTGGGTACAATGAGGACTGCTGCGTGGAGAAAATGGTTTATTGTCCAAACCAATAATATACATGCATATGAAGGAAAGGTAACCATAGCAAGAGTCAGATGGCGGTGACAAGTGCGGGGGTCTCAGGTAGGATTTAGGGAGATTGTAAGTCTGTGCAAAACGTTGACATCAAGATAAAGGAAACATGGCCCTCTATCTATTCGTGCTAACAGCATGGTACTACTTGAAACACCCCCTTTCTGTTATAAGAGCCAACCAAATAATAGCTATTAGCCTGAGTAAATTAACATTTAAGGTAGTAGAAGTAGCAAATTATGTGATTCTTTGCACACAAATTCGTTTTTTTTAAAAACATCTGTAATGGTGGTAAAAATGACACACAAAAAAACAGGTATGCACCCAATGAACCGAGGATACTATTTAGCATCACTAAATCATTTTCATCACTAAATAAAACACACATGTTGTTGTTAATAGTTCCATTGCAAAATCCATTAAGCATTGTCTTAGGAACACGACAAGTTTGACCAGGCACTAAGGAAGACATAGTTTTTTTCTTGCTTATAAATAAGCTGATATGACATAAGTAAGAAAACCTACATAGAAGGTTCATCACTGTTTCACAGAGTGAAAGGATGGAATCTAAGAGCGCGACAATAATTCATCTCCAGCGAGTGATAACTTACAGTTAGCATTTAGTAACACAAAACAACAGGAGGTTTAATGTCATCTGCTAATCGTGGCAGTAAGTAAAGGTAATTCCAGAATAAACCCTTCTTCCTCTTCACACAGTCAAACTCACCATCATGTTAACAATTTTGTCTGCAGATCACAGAATTGTCAACAGTTTCCATGCTCTTTAACAGAAGTATTTCCATGCTGTTTGTTATGATAACAAAAGTGGCTGTCAATGACATCATTCTGTGTTCTGACCAAGTTGATCATGTTGTAATTACTTGCTACAGCATGATTCCCTATCAACAGAAGTCCTCCCCTTAACCTTGAGAAGCTCACTCAGAGATTTGGGCCCCTCAAAATCATTTGAGGACGATCTCCCATGAGGCATGTGAACAGTGGGATGACTAGCTACTAGCACTTGACTTGGATCTACACTTCTCTTCTTTTATCTGAGCAAGTGTCTTTGGACCCATAAAATCTTCAGAATCCAGGTGCTTCACCTTTGCAGTAGAATATTTAGATGGTCTAGCAGAACGAACATGGCGTTGTTTTCTTTTACTTTTCTTCTTCTGTCCTCTGAAGGTTGCACAAGCAAGAGGCGGAGAACAATCTCCTATCAATGAATTTTGCATGTCATGAGTTGGTATAGTGTCAATCTCTTCGGAACCATTCCTGGCTTCATGAATATGACATCTCTTATTGCGGCCATTGTTGCCCTTAGCACCTCTTCTCTCAGGTGGTCACTTTGAAATGCGTCCAATCTGAGAGTTCTGGTGATCTGAGCCAGCATGTGATCCCATTAAGCTTCTTGGATTGAAGAATCTTGGTACATGCTCTTCACAAGAGGGTTTTACAAGATTTATTCTATTATGCAATATATGTCCTGAAGTGGTCAAACAGTCATGCCCTTGAACTCCTTCAAAATAATCAAGACAACTGCCATGCTCAAAGCCATGAAGTCCTTGCTCATTGTACTCTGTATCATGATAATCCAGACCATAAACAATGGAGTCTCCGACACGATGTTTCACATGAAGCACCTCAGTGTCCCTTTCTTGTGTGGATTAATGCTCAAGATCAATCATGTTAGAAAGTCCGTCATCCACAAGAACATCAAATCCAGGGGAGGAATCATGTGATGTATCTTGTTCAGCATGTTCAATCGCTGAATCTCCTGAGCTCTGATCAGACAGTGTGGAGCTTTTCATGTATCCCACTGTATCAACTGTTGTTTGAGGTGCATTGAGAATAAGTCCATTATGTTTGGGACTGCTTGAGGCTGGAAGTCCTGACTGGTGGTCCTTTGTGCGGTCAGGGCTTCCTTGGCAAGGATTAGCAAGAGTATCTTTCGATGATTCAATCATCTCATTTCCAGCAGGATTGCTATTTTTAGCAAGATTAAAAGTGAGAGCTCCAGAAGAAATTCCAACAACATCGTTACGAGTTATAGGCTCATGTAGGAAGGGACAATTGTCACCTTTCTTACAATACGAGTTGTAGTAGAAATAACAAGGATTAGCTGCCTTGATAGAAGCAGAAGCATATGAGAGAAGTGGATCTGCCAAGTAGTGAGATAACAAGCACCATACAAAATTACATAACCAGAAAGCTAATGAGAAGCTAAGGTCCAGCAAGGCAAAAAAATAGATCTAGAGTCAATAATGTAAACCACAAAGTTAATTCAATCGATGTATTACGAGTGAAAATTAACAAATAGACAGACAATATCGAGGTTATTATTAGAGCAGAAATACCAGATACCACGGCCTCCTATGTGTAAAATAGGAAATGAATTAATGGACACAAAACAAACAAAATTAAATTAACCACTGGGTCAACTGAACCTCATTTCCTTCCCTGACCTCATTTACACATCAGCAGCGCAACACGGAATCAGTCAATGTTGCCACAGAGAATTATTAACTTCAACCAGCATGCACAGGGTAGTAACCAATGTTCTATGTTCTTAGAGAATCCATTGGAGATAGTCTGGGCTGGCTGTATGCAGACTAAATTGACTCACAGACATTGCAACTGTTTTAAAAAAACAGATCACAGTAGGCCCATTAGCCCCCCCAAAAAAAAAACTCGACCTGCAGGGGGTAAGCCACCCCTGGGCATTGCTGTAATAGAGAAGACCTTTGGCCCATTAGCCCAGAGCAGTGCCATCTAATCTTTCTTACAAACAACACATCTCCACAAAGTATGTTTCTTTAAGGGCTCCACAAATAAGTCAACCAAGCGATAACAGCACAAGCTTGGCAATTGCATCCATCAACTAGCAAATACCGAACTGAAGGCCAATCTCTACTCACGGTACACAGCAACCACAACTCCACAACAACACAGCGTATCATCACAGTGTATCCAAGAAATTGAACTCAGCGTGGACAGGCTCCGATCACTCACGGGGTGGCGGAAAGTGCAGCTCGGGTTGACGCAGCTGCCTCGAAACCAGTACCAGCAGCTCTGGTTGAACCGCGCGCCCTCGCAGTGCCGGAACTCGCAATTAGCCCCCTGCAAGCAAAAGTGCAAAACCCCATACACGACACACAGAGCAAGCGAGAATCCGATCAGCCAACAAACCAACCAACCAACGGCCCCCTCTCGACGGCTCCAACTGCAGCTCGCCGGTGGAGAGGCACGGAGACACTAGAAATGGCGGCGCCGGAATTGGGGTTTTCGCAGAAGGGTGGTAGAAAGGGAGTAGGGCTACCTTGGTGCAGGTGAAGCGGGAAGCAAGGAAGGAGACGCAATCGGTGTTACTCCGTCTCCACCGCGGGTCCTCTCCTTCCTCCGCCGCCACGGGCTCCATTGCTCCCCTCGGCGGCGGCGGCGGTGCCGTAAATGGGGAGGCGGCGACGGTACCGACGGCTTGGGGTTTTGAACCTTTTTGGGGAGATGGGCGGACCGCGTACCCTGTGTTGGGAGTGGGATCAACGAACCGCCATCAACTAGCTAATTGGTGATCTCTTCATCAATTGCATTTAGGTCCCTCAAGATTTACAACACGTTAAGATTAGGGGAAATACTCGCAGAAAAAATGGAAAAATTACAACAAATTACTTTATTAATTAGTTTCACAAAGCAGTATTTTGTGTTAGGGCATGTTTAGAACACGGAGAATTTTTCACGTTCATGTGTTTAACATGTGAGATTTCTGTGTTCTAAATAGGCCCTTACGGTATTATTAAAACTACACTTTTTTAAATCAGTTTTGCAGAGTTCAATCATTACTTTTTTTTTTCAAAACCCAAAACACTCATGTACTCCCATCTTTACCATTGCCATTTTGAATGCCTATAAGAGACTGGATCAACATGCATCCAAATTGATAAAGTCATCACAAACAACTCTAATGGTCACATCATTTAGGGTCTATTTGGTAAGGACTTAAATTCTTATAGAAACATTTTAGATTCAAATTATCTCAGATCTAAATCACTTTATAGGACCGTTTCGACTGGTAGACTGGATTCTATTAAATTTTTTTATAAAAACCATTTAAATATAAACATACTTAAAAAATTCAGAACTTTGTATGGCCAAAGAATAACTATACAATCCATTTTAACATGTTGCACATAAAAAAAGATAAAAAGCAGTTGCTATTGTATGAGAGAGACTAGGAATGGAATCCATTGAAACTAGACTGAAGTTGTTTGGCTCGCCTAGGCAAAAAACATGGAACCATGTGGAGCGTTCGAGGGTAGAATTATTTCGCAGTTAGGATGTTTGTTTCTTTCGATCCACAGAGAATCGGAATCGGAATCGATTATGTTTGGAGGACGACCACTTACTATTAGAAGAAATTTTTAAGAATCAATTTTGGGAGGGGTAAATTTGTTTTTTTAGAGAATCAATTGGGGGTATTTGATTTTTCTAGAGTCCTCCGCTTTATTTCAAGAAAACAAAGCGCACAAAGTGTCACAGTTTAGCACAACGTGTTCGAGGTGCTTCAGACAACATTATCTAGGTCTAGATTCTGAAAGTACAGATGTTATAATGGGGCTTGACAATCAGACGTTGTAACATCCTCCAAGTTCAGTAGCATCCCAATCCCATTTGACCTTCTTGTAACTTCGTACGTAGTTGCAACCTTTTACTCCATTTATTTATCTTACCGCTTCCAACCTCTCCTTGTCCCGGCCGCCATCTTCTTATCAACTTTGTCGCCAACCTCATCACCCTCCTCACATCTTGCTAAGTATCATCCTAAAAACAAGGAGCATTCCTCAGTTTCCAGACACTACATAAGATAGTTGAGGAACAAACATTTTTAGTAAAAGAATTTTGGCCACAAATCCAAAATTTAGCTACTGATTCGAAATTTGGACCAAAATTGCAATGTAAGATTTGTGCTGCGACATTCCAAGTAATAAACGACACACAACACTCAAAAAATAAATACATAATAGAATCATTATCATTGCAAAAGAGGCTAGTCATATCTTCAACATGTCTTATTTTAGCTAAATTGTCTCTAGTGAGAAGTTTAGGCCCTGTTTGGTTTCTACAGGTGCTCCTAAAATTTCTGTCACATCGAATGTTTAAACACATGCATGAAGTATTAAATATAGACTAATTACGAAAGTAATTACACAACTTGCGACTAATTTGCGAGACGAATCTTTTAAGCCTAACTAGGCCATAATTTGATAACGTGGTGCTACAGTAAGCATATGCTAATGATAGATTAATTAGGCTTATAAATCGTCTCGCTAATTAGCCTCCATCTATGTAATTGTTTTATAATTAATCTATATTTAATGCTCTTTAATAGCATCTAAATATTCGATATGACATGAATTTTAGAAGCGACTAAAGAACCAAACTCCGCCTTATTGTTACAAGAGCCACAGGAAAGTTCCTACTCTTGGAGAGACAGATTTTCCAAATGGCAAAGGTACAAATCAGCAATGATCCAAGAGACCACCGAGTGTAAAGACTGCACAGAGTAATGCCTTTGGACTCATACTCCTAGATAATTGAACTACAATCATCCGAGAACCGGATAGAGTCAGCAATGGCTTAAAGCTCAAACCACCTGTTCATCATACTAGGAGAGGAGAAATTTGGTTTGCCTGAAATTTGCTTTGAATTCTATGAAACATGCTTTAAACTTAATCTCGGAAACTTAGCCAAGCTTGGACTCGAAAAGAAATATACCAAGCAGTTGCATTATCTTCATCAACTACGCACGTTTCATGACATAAAATTCCCCTCCGAATAAATGGAGCCAAACAAAAGAGGAATTTAAGCACGTAATCAGGTCAGTGGACCTTTATATTCGCATTAAGTTAAGATAACAGTTAAATATAATGATATAACGTATGGATATCATTTGCAACCAGAAAATCGAGGTTGTACCCTCAAGCAATCGATGTTGCTACACTGTGATTGGAGATCAGAAAACCAGCCATCCAATGCTTATTAGCAAAAAAAAAAAAAAAAGTGCCTCAAGTTGCTGAGTGAAAAACAAGATATCTTCTACCGGAAGTTACAAAAACAGAAAAGACAGCCACCTCATCTCATTTTTCATCTAACAAAATGGAGGTACACGCTGTAATTGACGACAGCTCTTCTTGTGTTGCAGATCCAAAGCCTTGCCATCTTATTCTTCCCAGGCTATCAACCAGGTATATGTATCTGCAGTTCAAGAGTAGAGCTACCTTACATTGACAAGAAAAACTACTTTTAGTGTTTATATCAAATGACCAAAGAGAAAGGAATTATTGTTACCCAGTGAGAAGGTTTATAATTTGAAGCTTCTTCCGGAAGTCATAATGGTCCCCGAAAGCATAGACAACATGTCTCTGTGGATTGTTAGATTTCCTCATCACCTTGAGAAATGCTCGTCTCACAGGACTCAATGATAATAGCCAAGAATCTATAAATGAGATCTGGAACATAACATATTTTCTTTCAAGTTGCTGCTTGGAATAATGTCACATTTCCCGCTCTCAGCACTACCCAAAATCCCAACTGTTAAATGTACCTCACTAGCTAAAGTTTAACCACAGGCCCTTTTCCTTTTCCCATTACATGCAATAAAACAACAGCTAAATAATTGTCCTAATTCTGATATGCAATAAACATAGGTAACAAAACCTGATCCTATGTTGACAATGAAAGAAATTCAGATTGAATCAAATAAAGGACAATCATATGAACTATTAACGCTAAAGCATCTTAGCCATTATCAACGATGTGCAGAAGTAAAAAAGAATTAGAGAATGAATTGTACAGTTACAAGATAGACTCAGCAACATCCAGTATTTTCTTTCATTTACACTAAAAATTGCCAATGGCACTTTGCATCCAACATCAAACCAGTAATCATTAAGAAATTGTAGATAGCACTTTGCATCAAACACCAAACCAGTAATCATTAAGAAACTGTGATTGGCACTTAGCATCCAACACCAAACCAGTAATCATTAAGTAGTATAACACCAATACCTCATAAACATGCATGTTCTTGGCAGCACCAAATGCATCCAGGAAAGGTAAACTCCATGACTCTGCCATTTTCTGTTGAGGACCAGTTAGCCATTGACTCATTAAGATTAATATAGCATATTAGCTTCACTGCATACAATCAATGCAATGTAAAGTGACAGATGTAAAAGAAATATGAAATTTCATATTAATATTTTTTTGGAACAAAATCATTAAAAGGCAAAGAAAAATTGACATAAGGGGAGCCCAAACCTAGATATTGGTACACCCCAAAAATGCCATGAAGAAAAAAATAAAAAATGAAAGCCAAAAATCAAGTCAGAGAATGTAAAAAAAGGCTATGAGCATCTTCAATCCTAGGCTTCCTAGTTAACAGCCCTTTAGGGGCATCTAACAAGTGTGGATGCATTTGATAGTACACTGCACAAATTTGGCCAGTCAATCCGCAAACAATATGCACTGGTGGACACAATATTCTACACTGAATTGTTTTCCGTCATCGTGAGAGAAGTTGCAGCGGGATGTCAAGTCCTGTCAAGAAAATGGGCTAGGAACAAGAAAATCATTGTCTGCATTTAGTCTCTTGCCAGGGTAGTTGGCGGAAATTGATTTTATCAGACACAAGTACCATGAAGACCATCTGGTCAATGTCCATATAATCCTAGTAATATGGTGTGCTGCTAGTTTTTTTGGACATAATGCAAAACCAAACAGTTGGAATTCACATTGCCATGGCTGCAAACTACAGCTAATATCTAACAAAGAGCAGCTGGGCAGTTCCTCATACCAGTGAGCTTGCACGGAAGGAAAGGCACACCAATGAAGCACTAGGAATCACATGGTCTCCAGCCTCACCACCATCATCTTGCAGAGCAGGCGCAACAAGAGGCAGATGCAGCGCCCCTCCAGCAGGGGAATCCACAGCAAGATCAGGAAACTTCACAGCATCTGCCTCTGGGATGATGACCTTACTCGCCATCGCAATCTGAACCATTTTTACCACATAGTGATTACTGGTTACTCAAAGCGATCAACAACTAGTAAAATTGTGCTGCATACTGTGTATAGATGATATACCTTGCCGGCATTCTTGCGGATCTCGGCAATGTCTGCGAAGTAGCCTCTACTCATCTCATCGGTACTGCACTAGACCAATCAGAACCAAAGCATCACATGTTAGTATGTCACATCCATATACAATGCTGCAGTGCAGCATCAGTAACTGCTAATGGCTAGTAAATGAGGTGGGAGGACAGGAGCCTTACAGCCTGGCCTTCTTCTTCTCCTTCTCCTTCTCCATGGCCTCCTTGTTCCCCGTCTAATCACTCCAACAACACAAAGAAAAAACAAGTC